GGCTAAAACAGCAACATCAGTTTTTCTCGGTATGCATTCATTATTTATTTTTGATCAAAAAAACTTGGTTCAAACTTTTTTTTTTTAACATTATCTTTAATATGAACACAACATGTGTTGGGAGTTTGGGATCCCTTTAAAAAGCCCAGAGCTGCTGCCGAGCCCTGGTCGCTTACCATGGCCAACGCCACTTTGAAACCTGTGTCATCAAACCTTTTGCTAGTCTTTAAATATAAGAGCACTTATATAAATAATAAAAATAGTTTAAAAAAAGCATAAAAAATAATAAAATAGTTTTATGTTTGAAATATTTATGAATCCAATAATTTATTTTTTATTTTATAGACTTTAATTTATCAAAAATAGAAATTTTCGATTTTGTTTTTAATTTCACTTAAAAAAAAATTTTTTAATAAACTTTATTCTCTCTTTCATTCTTTTTTCACTTAGTTAATAGATGACATTTTTCATGAGGCCATCAAGTCTTGTACCTAGGGTCATATAGTTTGCTTTTACCTAGGGCCATGAGCATTTTTCTGATAAAGAATTTGTTTGATCACAAGTTTGTTGAATTACAATTGGTGCCAAGATTTTTTTTTACTGTAGTTGTTTTGGGAGGGAAACACTAAACCCCATCAAACTGTTAACTATCATGACTATCGATGTTTTGGGAGGGAAACACTAAACCCAATCAAACTGTTAACTATCATGACTATCGATGTTTTGGGAGGGAAACACTAAACCCAATCCATCAAAGTGTTAACTATCATGACTATCGATGTTTTGGGAGGGAAACACTAAACCCAATACATCAAAGTGTTAACTATCATGGCTATCGATGATTTTAATTTCCAACAGGACCATAGTTGTACTTTAAAATAAAAGAAACTCTGTAATTAAATACAATAAAAGAAAGTCTGTGATGGAATGAAAGAAATGTTTTGAATATTTATTTAGAATGTAGAAATTATTTGTACAAGTGTACAACTAACTTTTTCTTATATGTGCGCATGTATTTAAACTAAGCTATTATTAATTATTTTGAATATTTTACCTAAAAATCTAGTATAGTTTAATTTAAACTTTTTTAAATTTAAATTAAATTAATTGATACTGTATATGGGCAATTCCACGCTCAAGTGAGTTATTCTGAAGTTTTCATTGGGTTGTCATATGTTTAAAAGTTTTAAATTTTGATTAATATGTTATTTGTGCTATTTTTTTGTTTAATTCCAAATTAAAATCTTGCATCATACTTTCTATATAAATGGTAGCTAAACTACATTTTGATAAAAGCGTGGAATTATACACAAATTGATTATATCATATATGAACTTAAAAAGTGCAATTGCCTTAAATAAGTTTTTTATATTTAACAATTATATCTTATCTGCTGTTTCCCAACAAAATGACTGTCCCGTATGTAACAAAAACAGCATTTTTTTAAAATTTACACCTAAAAATTTTAAAAAAACGCTGTTTTTGTTACATACAGGACAGTCATTTTGTTGGGAAACAGCAGATAAGATATAATTGTTATATATAAAAAACTTATTTAAGGCAATAGCACTTTTTAAGATTATAAAATGAAATATAGCAATTATAAGTATTTTATAATTGCTATATTTCATTTTATAATCTCCAATTATAAAATGAAATATAGCAATTATAAAATACTAAATAATTTATATATCTAAATAATTTCTTGTTGATTGAAGCATTTCTTTTAGTCATACATAGATCGTTTATATGCATCCCATAAGTAACAATTCAATGCTCCGTAAGTAATGACTCATTGTACTGTTTATGAAGTAGGCTGAAGTTAATTTTAATAACAAAACAAATAATAAAAAGTTTAGTTCTATTGAATTTTTGTCAACTTTTGAAACATATGGTATTAAAACATATGTTGAAATTATTATATAAAGCATTTTTTAAGGAATTGTTAAACTTATTTTTCTATAGAAATTTTTTGTTTTTCTTTTTTTAATTATATTTTATTACCAGTCATTGTTTTTCAATAATTATAACTCATTACTAGTCATTATTTTTTATTTTGGATCGTAATATAAACTAATGGTTTAAACTAATGCTGAAAGGCAAAGTAAATGGAGAAGGTTTAATCCTGTTTTAGCAAAGGAAAAAAATGAGTATGTTAAAAAACACCAAATAAGAAAAAGAGACAAATACTCAAAGTTACCAGTTATAAAAAGCAAAAAGCTAATATAGAAAGAAAGTTTAAACAGAGAAAAGCAACTGAAAATAAATTTATGAAATTGTTTGTACGAGAAGCCATATAGTACACCTCCTCTATCAAGGGCTATACATAAAGTAAAACTAATGCTACCCTATAGCCCATCAAAGCAAAAAGCAGTTGTTTTAAAATTAGCATTTAAACTACATTGCAACATTGTAGAATGTTCTAATGGTTTTTGAGGAGTCACTCCCTTAACTAAAGAAATCAAGAATAAAACTGTTAGTTTTTATGAAAATAATGATGTCAGTCCTGTATATTCAAGCAAATTTCCAGAGTCTCGTTTTTAATGTCCAGAGAAACCAGCATGTTGGTTCAATGAATGTCAGCTTTAAAAATGTGGTTTTAATAAAAAGTATTCATTGCAGTGTGATAAAGAAACTTTAGAAGCTATTGTTGAGTGGAAACAATGAAAATATGATAATGGAAGAATGAAGCAAATTGTTCAAAGTAATTCAGTAGCACACTTGTATGATCACCTGTGCTTACTGATGATATCCTATTTAACCTATAACTTTATTAAATAACAGCAGGATAAGAGTTTGGAATCTGACAGAAATAGCACAAAAGAGGTGGATAGTATAACAGTGTTACAAATAGATTACACTGAAAATTATAAATGATTATCACAAGATAAAGTTCAAAATGCATACTGGAATCAACAGCAGATGTAATTTTTACTTTTGTAATGTGGATCCAAAAAATAAAAAACTGTCATACAGTTGTTAGTGACAACTCATGAAATAAGGAAACATCATTAGTAATTATTTATAAATTAGTTCAAAGCCTAGCAAAAGAAGTTGTCGAGTTAAAAATTGGACAGATGGTCCTGCAAATCAGTTTAAAAACATATTTACTACAGTGAGCGCTTAAGCTCTTCAATAAAAGTATTGTTATAAAATGAAACTACAGTGCAACTAGTCATGGAAAAGGACCTATAGATGGCTTAGGAGCAAATGTTAAAAGAATTGTTTCTAATCAGGTTCTAACCAGAAAAGTTATTAACAATGCTGACGATAATTTATCATGTTGTTTCTAAGATTAGCCCAAATTTTCAAACTTCTTTAATTTTATCTGAACATATTCATCAAAAAAGTATTGAACAAAATATATAATATAAATATCAGAAATCAAATAAAGTAAAAGAGATTTCCACTTTTCATTACTTTTCTTTTTTTAATGATTGCATCCCATTTGAACGATATTCCTCAGAATCTGAAACAGCATTTCCAAAAATTAATATAGCAAAAAAAAAAAAAAAAAAAAATTGTCATGTAAATTGATTGTTTTGACAAAATTTTTATAATATATTTTTGTTTTTTTAGAATAAGACAACCAATCCAAAAATTGCAGTGAAGAAGTATATGCTGCAAAAAAAATAGTAGATGTAATATCATCTTTTTATATAAAATAATGCCTTGTTTTAATTGTTAATAAGTTATGTCCTGTAAGTAAGGTTTATTTCTGTCCCAGTAAGTAATGATAACTAATTTGATTTAAGATATATAAATAAATAGCTAAAACAATCTTTTGAACAATTTTAGGAAAAAATATAACCACTTAATTTATTTTAAGAAGCCAGTTTATGTAAGTTAAATATTTGGATTAAAATATTCAATTGAAAACATTTTCAAATATATATTTTCACAAATTTGATGTTTATATATGTATGAATCATCATTATTTGTTGTCTTGTATATTGAAATTTTGTTCAGTTATTATAAGTATAGGAATTGATTAGATGCTGTGTTACTTACGGGACTCAAAAAAAATATTGTATTATACATGTTGTTTTTAGTTGAATATTTCAAACCAAATATTTAACTTACATAAACTGGCTTCTTAAAATAAATTATATTCTTATATTCTTATATTCTTATATTTATATTCTTCCTAAAATTGTTCAAAAGATTGTTTTAGCTATTTATTTATATATCTTAAATCAAATTAGTTATCATTACTTACGGGACAGAAATAAACCTTACAGGACATAACTTATTAACAATTAAAACAAGGCATTATTTTATATATAATTAGGGGCATTAAAAAACCCAGCCCTAGGTACACAAACTTCCCCTACATACATACATACATACATACATACATACATACATACATACATACATACATACATACATACATACATACATACATACATACATACATACCTACATACATACATACAGGCCTTGGCAGGAATAAATGAGCATGAGAGCCAAAAAAAGCTTACCTAAAACAATCTTGGGGAGCTGTGCGAGCTGCTCCTCATTTAAATCAACGCTCTTTTTTAATTTAATTTTTTATTTTTGCAACAACCGTGCTTTTTAAAAAGCATTGCAGAATATTATGTAATTAATTTATTTTAAATGACATTGTGTTTTTTATTTTAATTACAACGATATCTAGACTTTCTTGAGAAAAATTATACTTTTGTGAGAGCCGTAAATTGCTCCTTTAAACCGTTTTAGGGGAGTGAGAGCGAGAGCAAGAGTTCTTGCTTCCGGCCAAGGCCTGTACATACATACATACATACATAAATATATCAAACATCTATACAGTTGTATTATTATATCTAGCCTTTTTAAATAATTTTTAAAACTTTTATTTATCATAGTTTCTAAAGAAACTATGATAAATAAAATTTAAATTTTTTTTTTTTTTATTGAGTTAAAAATCTTTTATCACCAAAAAAATCTGAAAAAAAAGAAGCTATTCATCCATAAATGCTACAAACATTAGATCTTACCAGCTGCAGGAAGATAATTGTGAGCAGCAACAATATGAAGAGGAATTTGCCAATTTTTATCACGAGAGTTAACATCAGCTTGATGCTCCAATAATATACGAATGCACGACTAATAATTGTAAAAATGATAAACAGTTAAAAAAGTTATTAAACTCAAAATCAAATTGTTAAATATATGTTAAAACAATCAAATAGTTGCAGAATTACATTTCAGTTTGTTTAAATTAATGTTTTTGTCTTTTTATTGTTTTATACTGTTTTTATGTATAACTTTTTATTTGTTTTTATTTTTATTTTTGCTTTATTAATTGGTTATTATAACTACCCTGAACCTTAACCCTAAATTATTTATGGATAACCGCACTGGAGTGAACATACATTGACTTAAATAAGGAGAATATGCAGAAAGTGTACATCAACTGAGGGTTTTGGTTTGAGCTAGCAACTTATTAAAAATATATACTTTTTTTTAATACTGTATAAGTTTTTATCATTTTCCAGTCTAGTTTATTAGTATTCCATTTAAAATGACAGTTTATGGAAAACATTTTCCACAATCATTCAAGTGTGTGTGTGTGTGTGTGTGTATGTATGTGTGTATCTATTTATGTATGTATGTATGTATGTATGTATGTATGTATGTATGTATGTATGTATGTATGTATGTATGTATGTATGTATGTATGTATGTATGTATGTACATATGGTATGTATTAGCCTGTATCAAATTTTAACAAAATCCAGGGACACTATACTTTGCAATCTTAGCAATTTATATCAAAATGATCATGTTTAAAGTCTCAGCTCATAAGGACATGTGTAACAGAATTTCATTGAACTCGATTTTTTTAATTTTTTTTTGGCTTTTTACGAAAAATATCACTTTTTTTTCAAAAATAAAGTTTTATAATATAATTATATAAATTATATATAAATATTATAATATAAATACAATTTAATATTAAATAAATATTAAATAAAATAAATATTAAATAAAATTATATATATATATATATATATATATATATATATATATATATATATATATATATATATATATATATATATATATATATATATATATTATAATATAAATATAATTTAAAAAGTTCTCAAAATTAAATTCCAACTCAAAATTGATAGCAAAAAAAAAAAAAATTAAAAACTTAATAGTCTAAAAAAAAAGTTTTTCATTTGATAAAAAATAAATTTATTTAAATAATAATAATTACAAATCATTATTTTGAGGTTTACATTATCAGTTTGCCTAATTCTTATTTTGTACTTTTTTGAATTTTTTAAAATTTTTATTTTTACTTCCGATTTTTTGCATGGCAACTAGTCGATTTTTTTGTAACATTAGCAAGCATCCTTTTTCTCTCCTCTTTTGCTACAAGCATCACATTTTGCCTTTGATCTTCTGAACTACTTGCAAAGACAAAATCTTGAATAAGACGAATATTTCTCTCAGCGCAGTCATTTGTTACTTGCATGTTTTTCACAAACTGAACAAACTTTCTGTAGCTTTCCAAATCATCCCAGCTGCCAGAATCTCCCTTAATGAAGAGTTGATGGAAAGATATTAACATTATCAATATCAACATTGGCAGCATTAATGATACTAGTAAGCGTATTGTAATGATCTCTTTGACTGATGTTGTATCTTGCAGCACAAGCAAATGTTGCTTCAATAAGTTTTTCAGCAATAAGCTCTATGAGAATCTTATTTTTCTGTCTTCAAGAAATATGATTAGACTCTGAGATATCTGAATCATATTCAGAAACTGAATACTCAAATGTTATATCTTCATTTTCAGAAACCTCAGTTTCCTCTGTAACAAAGAAGTGTTTTTCTGAACTCAGTCTCTTTTTCTCTTTCTCTTTCTGCCTTTCAATCTGATCTAATTTTGAAAGCTTCATTTCAATCTAAATAAAAAGAAAATGGTTAAAAAAACAGCAAAATGAATAAAAACTTATTCTACTTGCAAAATAAATTATCACTTTTTTCAAGTAGTCCTTGTCTTTCCCTAAAATAATCATTTTTTTCTCTCTTCTCTGATCCTCCAGGAAGGTTAAGTCTTCTTGAACTTTTTCATAATCTCTATCCTGGCTTATCCTCTGCTTGAAATCTGATCTGGATATGTCGAAAAGCAAATCAAATTCTTCTAAAAAACAATTGATTTGATTGTGCTTTTTTCTTTGATCAAACTTTTGTCACTCGAAGCAAACTTATGTATTTTTTCTGTATCATGCAAAGCTTTTTTCTAAAAAATGAAAACTGCTTTTTAGGGGTTCAAATTATGAAAAACATGAAATGTTTAAATGATGAATATTACATAAAAACAAAATATATCCAACGGATAATGTATCTAAAGACACAATTTTCTGTTATATTTTGAGCACAATTTTTCAGAAAAAGAAAAAAAAACAAAGATTAATGAAAAAACAGTTGCCCTAACTCATACCCTCAGTTGATGTAGCAGCATTCCCTCCCATATTCTATTTAGATATTCAGTCAATTGACATACTAACACATCCACAGCTACCTATTTCATTATGACACCAACAGTGTTTTTCTAATGCTACATTCATATACCTTTGCATGTATATAAATATTACACTTGAAAAACATACAAACATAGCTCATCATTTTAGTTTTTAAAATAGTTTTTTTTTTAATCAAACTACATACAGTTAAATTGCCAAATAGTTCAGTTAATACAAACTACATACAGTTAAATTGCCAAATAGTTAAGATAATGAAAAATAACCTCACTCCCAGATGCACAAGCTCGATGCAAAGGTGTCAACCATCTGGAATCTTTTACATTTACCTTAGCACCTAATATAATCAATATTTATTTCTATATAAATCAAAGAATAAAAAATATATAAATAAAAACACAAAGAATAACATTTATCAACAATAAAAAAATACCGTGAGATAAAAGAACCTTAAGGCATTCAACTTCTCCACAGTGTGCTGCAGCGTGAAGGGGGGTGCGTTTTTCAGAATCCTATTAAAAAAAAAATTTTAATCAATTTCTATTCATACTAATCTAAATTTAATTTATGATATTTATGATATTTATATAAAATATATATATATATTTTTTAAAGTCACTGAATAGTTTTATTTTATTCAATTTAAACAAATTTAAAAAGTATTTTTTATTGCATTTATAACTTGGCAGAAGTTTTTCATAGCAAAAACAGTTAAATTTTTATATATTGTATTCAGTCCAAAAAATGCCTTTAGTTCAAAGCTCATTGTGGGTATAGGCAATATATAATGTAGAAAGTAAATAAATTCACTTCAATGTTGTCAAACAGACACACAGTGCTACTACAGTGCATCTATACTTTTTAAACTTTTACAAACAAAATTGCTATTTTATAATTTTTGAGCAAACAACTGTTTGTCAGTGACAGTAAGAAAATCTGGAAACATACTAAACACCTATATATTCTAGCTAAGGTAGTAAGAATTGCATAATGGCTTACAATCTTACAACATTTCTTACAACCTTAGTAAGAACTGCCATTGATATCAATTTTTATCAAATTTGTTTAAAATATGATTCACAAGGGAACAAAATCCAAAAAAGGAGGTAAAATCTAAAAAAATTCAAAACAAATTTGTTAGAAACTCCATATTTAATCTTGTTTTATCTCAATTATATTATCATTTTTTTCTTCTAAAAAAGTAAAAAAACAATAATAATAATTTAAAAACTAAAACATTTCAAAACTCTTCCTAGGTGATATTTTTAGTACATCTGAAATCTTCATGATAAAGAAACATTAAAATAAAATTTTAAAATTTCAGATTTTATCTAGATCAGAATATCTAGATTACAATTTGGTTTTGAAGAATCAGAAAAAGAAAAAAGTAATAACAAAAAGTTAAAAATATAAAGTATAATTTTAAAAATTCCAAAATTGAATGAAAGTTTATTCAAGGTAAAATTAGTAATTATTTTGAATGTTCTGAAAATGTAAGTTCTGAAAAAACAATAAATTTTGCATCAAATACTAAAAAAAAAATAATTAAAAAAACCCTCAAATTTTAATATAAATTAAGCACTTTTTTATATTTAATAACAAACCTGGTAGTTTACATCTGCTCCTCTTTCAATCAATGAGCGTATTTCATCAGCATTTCCATTAAAACATGCTTGCAAAATTGGAGGCTGAAGAGAAAAAAACAAGAATTAGTGAGCCTGTATTTTATATAACAAAAATTCATTTCATATTAATTTATTATTCTTTATTATTACTGTATTGAATTATGAATTCAATACAATGATAACAAATTCCTTATCATTTTACATTCATAAACATTATCAAACCAATTACTTATATATCTGTTTATTTTTTTTTTTAATTTAAATCTTTTTTGCTTCAAAATAAAACTGCTATAACTGAATTTAACTGCTTGTTTAAAATGCTGAATTATATAACTAAATAACTTTTAATTAATTTAAATTAAAAGCAATAATTCAGTCAAAACTTTCTTAACTAAAAAAGCGCCATATTTATAACTTGTAGTTACTACCCATATGTACATTCATACACACAATACATTAAAATATTGATAAAAATCAACATAAACATAAATTAACATGAACCTATGCTTTATTACCTGAATGCAATAACGTTTAGCTACTTTGATTGAAATGCTGTTATAAATATTTCTTGAAAGTTTATTATTTTGCACATTGACATAATGATAATCATTTTTCTGTTCCCTTTCAATAGCTTCTTGCATAATTATGTTATCAGATTGGTATACCTCAATATTTTCATAGGGTTGGAATTGTGTATGTGATTGAGGATAGAACATGAAAAGACTCATTTTTATTTTTTACTGTTGCAATAAGAAACACATGGAAATTATAATAAGAAAATAATAAAATCTAACGAAACAAGATTAAAAAAACTCCATGCTGAAAAAATTAAAAGCAAGAACAAATTCCAACTAGAAAAAATAAAGTTATCAAAATGATTACTATATTCAAATATTATAATGACTTAAAAAATATCATTACAAAATTTATTTGCTTTAAATTTTTATGGCAAGTATATTATATAAGATGCTAAACAATAACCAAAAATAACCAATTAAACTTCAAAGGTTAGTTAATCTCTTTGAAAAAAAAAAACAATACCTAAAGATTGAGCACAATTAAACAAAATTTAACATAAGACAAAACTTATCAAAATATTAAAAAAAATTTCAGAGTTTAAAAAAACTTATAAATTAATTATGTATTAAATGTAATACTTAAACATTCCATTGTATTGGTAATTCTTCGGATTAAAATGAACTTTAACAAAGCTAAAAATGACTTGTTTAAATATGTCTATTTTATCATCAAGAAAAATCTGTTTTATCAAAAATATTTGAAAAAAAAAAGGGATAATTTTTATTATCTTTTAAATCCAAATTTTATTGAAATGTTGTAAAAACAATTTTTTTTTTCTTTCAGCTTGCTAATAAAAGTTTCAACGACCATTCAAAAAAGAGGATACCAATGATCACCTTTTAACTGTAACAATAACAAACTCTCATGATTGGTAACTAGAGACATGTTGTTATAAGGTTTCATACAAATTCAAATTAAAATGAAAATTTTGATTTCTTTGAGCAATCTTAATAAAAATTAAGACTAGGGATGAAGTGGTTATAGTAAAAAAGATCAAGCCAAATAAGTCGAATATTAAACTCAATATTAATGTTTCATTTTAGGTAAAAAAAAAAAAAAAAAAAAAGACAAAACAGGGCATTTAGTTTTTTTTAACAGTTATTTAAAATCATTATTTGATAGCAATTGAAATATGCTACAACATAAACATTCTACATATTCCATATTTTTTTATTCCATATTTTTTACAGAAAAATTCTGATAGACAAGTAAAAATTTGGTAAAGATTTTATTAAAATTTTTTTTTTTTTATACAAAATATAAATAACATTTATTCTAAATATAATTATAATAATTATATTAAATAAATTATAAATAATTTTTATTCTAAATATAAAATATCAAATATAAGTAACAAATGATACACTACTTAATTGTAAATAATTTTTTAAAAAAGCTCAAATATTACAAACAAAATTAAGTCATATATGTCAATGATATAGAAATTTATATTTAAATTATAACAATAGTTGCAACACTAAATGTAGACTTTTATACCAATATTCAATATATCTGTGTATAAAGAAAATCCATATGAACAAAGCAATAAGAGTTTGCTACCAAACAAAAAAATCAAGAAATATTTACCTAATTTAATTATAATATTTACCTAATATTTACCTAATATTGTTTAAAATAATATGAAATAATATAAATATAATATTTACCTATAAAAATATATTTACCTATAAAAATAATATTTACCTAATATTGTTTACAATAAAAAAACTTAAGAAATAATGAAGGGGAAATTTTTAAATGTCTTAAAATGTACATCTTAATGTTAAAAAAAAAAATGTTTAACTTTATATGTTTATAAATTTATAAAATATATTTAAAATTATATAAAATAACTTTATATAATTTATATAAATAAATTTAACTTTAAATAAATCATAACTATTTTAGAAAGTTAAAATTTTTCCAAATTAACAAACAACTTGAAACAAGTTTAGGAGGGACTTTGTTGTTCAATATTATAAAATTTTTTATTTATGATGCTGAACAACAAAATAGAAGATCAAATATTAGATAAGTTTATTTAGAAGTTTTCTCTAAATAATATTTTAACAAGTAGAAGTTTCACATTTGTTTAAATCAGCTTAATTTCAGACAGTAAACAATCTTTGATAAAAAAATCTTTATTAGTTAAGTTTGATAAAACAAAACATAAATAAAAAAAAACATAAAGCAGCATAAATACTGAATATATAAAATACTGAAAAAATATTTTCAATTGAAAATTACATTATCTTGTACTTATTAGGGGTACTATTTAAAACAACTTTTTTTTATCTCACCCCTTAACGTGTTCTATATAAGAACCCCAAAATTCAAAAATTAATTTATAAAATTTATTTTTAGGGCTAGCTTAAGACCCTTAAACATTAAACAGGTTTCTAGTATAACCAACAAAATATTTCTTCACAATTATGTCTACTTGTCTTAAAAGAAGAAAATTCATCTAAAAATCATATTTTTTATAAAAACATCTCTAAAAAATAGATTTTAAAAAATCATGAAAAAATTAATTTTTTTATCTTAAATAAAAAACCAGTAGTTTTATGCAACAAACTCTAAAATAATAATAACAATCTGTGTATAAAATGATTATAATTTGTAAAGCTTTAAAATAAATTCTTTTGAGACTTAGTTTGACATACTTGAATAAAAATTCTTTTAAAGTATGTCAACCTGAGTTGACATACTTTGAAAAAATTTTTTTAAAGTATGAAACTGCCTAATGTATAAGGTTCAATAAGTTTTAAAATGTTAGCTTTTATCCTAACAGTTTCTTGCAATATGCTGTTGTTATGGTGCAATTATTATTCAACTTTGGGTTCATATTAAAGACCCAATCACAATGCTTATTTTGTGCTTCTAAAATAACAACTAATAAAGATTAGGGTATAATATCCTGTGTTTGTTATGTGATCTAGTCTTTGCCACTTTATCTTTAAATGAACATGTGCCTTTAATTTTAAAGTTTGGATAATCAAACTTTTGCCAGTTATAAAGCAATCATTGCTTTAACACAGGTGAAAGTTTGAAGATCCTATCTTTGAAATTAAAGACACAGGATCCATTTAAAGATCAAGTGCCAAAGACTAGTTCATATGGCAAACATTGTGTATTGGTATTGGTATTATAAGGTATTGGGCAGGTGCTAAAAGCTTTTTTTGCAAGTAACACATCTTTTTATTATCAATTTAACAAGATTGTTGCAAACTTGGGTTGACTTTACTTAAAATGGTTTTTTTTGTTCTTGCTTTAGGTTATCAATGAATTATGACTAATATTTTATCCACTCAAGACCAAATAGATTAGAGCCATTTCTTATTGAAACTGTCATCATTCTTTTCAATCAACCAACATGTCTGCTGATGAAACCATGCAGTTCTCTAACATCTCTATATAGATCTGTTGCTAGCCTGTAATGTTACATGCATCTACTCTATCAAAACTAAAACCTCAAATACAAAAAGTACTACTGTCAGGACCAGGTTGCATTCTTGTATGTATGTATGTAATTATGTATGTATGTATGTATGTATGTATGTATGTATGAATGTATGTATGTATGTATGTATGTATGTATGTATATATGTATGTATGTATGTATGTACGTACGTACGTATGTATGTATGTATGTATGTATGTATGTATGTATGTATGTATGTATGTATGTATGTATGTATGTATGTATATATGTATGTATGTACGTATATGTATGTATGTATGTATGTACGTATGTATGTATGTATGTATGTATGGATGGAAATATTGCAGAATATCTGCGTTTTTTCGCAAAAAAAAAAAACTATTTTTTTTTAATACCGTAAAAAAAGTCCTCAATTTTTAATTTGGTTGGCACTTAAATCAGCGCCCAAATATGGTCGATGCTGTCAAAAATGGTAATAGCCCCTGATATATATAGATGTCACAAGATTATGCGGTGAAACAAAAAAGCATAATCCATTTAAATATAACTTAAATCAGTTATTTAATATTGCATCAGTAATGTATTTTAAATTACCACAATTTAACAATCATTCAAACAATATAAAATAACAAAAAGTACAAATAAAATTTAAATTTGGCATATGAAAAAAATTTTTTTAAGTATATAAATATTTCTTAAAACAACTATTATTATTATTATTATTATTTATTGTACCGCAACAAGCTATAGCTTGTGTAACCAATTCTGGTTTTGGCGGCCTACATAAAAATTTACAAATTATTTTGAAATAAGTTAATTAAATGGTACTAAAGCCAATTTCATCGTTAATCATCTTCAAGGTTTTCCAATTCAAAAAATTTATCCAATCTTGCTTTGAAACTATTTTACAGTTGTGGCACTGATTATGTTTTTAGGCAATTTATTCCAAGTGTTCACCACACAATTTGTAAAAAACTGATAACGCTGTTCATTGTTTTTAACTAACTATCTAACTAGCTTAAAGTTATGACCTCGCGTTCGACTTTGATTAAAGTTTCTTGGATAAGAGTACTATATACATAGTTTTTTTTTAAACATTAATAAAACTTAACTAAAAAATTAAGTTTTCTTAATGTTTAGGAAAAGCAAAAACAATATATATTTTAAAAGAATTAGCTTTTAAATCTTGGTCTGTTTTTTATTTCTAATCAAAATACTTTCTTTGATCAATTTGAAAAATCAACAAAAACAGAAAAACTTCTTTAAAAAACAACCTCTAAACTAAAATGTTATATGTTTCAAATTGTGTAATTTTTTTTCAGTTTGGAGTAAAAGATGTGCAGACCTTTGTTTTACATATAAAATTTATTTTTAAAATGATCAAATGTGCCACATTTAAAATTTTGATTGTTTTTTGACCCCATGTTTGCCATCCATGTGTGCCATCCATCAACCATGTGTGCCATACATCAACCATGTGTGCTATCCATAAACCATGTGTGCCATCCATAAACAATATTGTAAATAACAAAAAAAAAATCTTTTTACCTTTAATGTTATCTAAATAAGTACTCTAGCTAAAAATTTTGCCTTTAAACACAGAAAATGTTACTGTAAGGGTTGAGTGGCCAAAAAACTTTTAAAATCTGTTTTTTATTTACAAAAGTGATTAATAATTAGTTTTGAAAACAAATTTTGCCTTAAGTTTTATTTTAAAAATAAAACTTGAAAAATGTGACTCCTTGTATGCCAAGATTAAACTTTTTTTAAATAAAATAAAAAATCTTGTATATAAAACATACCATTGTTTTATATATGAGATTTGCAACCCTTATAAGCTACTACCCTAAACTGCAAAAAATTATGACCTATTTAGACCCACACTTAATTATAATATTTTTCTAAACATTATTCCTACAGGCTTTGCTCATAGTTGATCTGGCAATACATTTTAACACTTGCAACAAAATCTAAACTAATAAAACTAACTTAAAAATTATTCATTAAAAAAAATTATTAAATGCAAAATGAATGTAAAAAGTAACTTTAAATCAAATAAATTTAAATATAATGAGAAGTTTAAAATTAAAGAACTTTTTTTTCTTTGACTCAGTTTGGAAATATAGGGTAAGTTATAAAGCTATTTACACATCTGTTTTTTTTTTAAATCAAAAAATACATACAAAAATGCACAATTGCAGTTAAAATGTTTTATTACAATAATGAATAACAACTTAATGTTTTCTCAATAAATTCTGCATGAACTATATCAAAATATAATTTAAATATTCTAAGAGGTAACAGTTTTGGCAAAACATAAATCGGTTAACAAGTAGGTTAAGTTTCATCTATAAAATGCGTACAGCATAATTTTTAACAAAGGCCTATATAAATATATGCATAAGCAACTTTGCATAGGGCTAAGCTGTTTACATGACATGAGAAACTTTTTGTTTGGCAATATTTGAATGTCTAAAAATTTTTTTGTGTTTGATTGTGGTTTGATTGTGTTTGTGTTTGATTGTGGTTTGAAGTGGTTTGGTAAATAAGTATTAAACATTTTTATATATATAAAAAACTTATATTATCTAGCTAATAAAAAATATAAATATATATTATCTAACAAATATGTGAAAATTTTTTAAGACTTTAGGTAGCTAAATTTATATGTTGTATTTGTTCAGGTATGGAACATGTAATGACAACAAAAAATTTGTTAAAAGTTATTTTCTTAAACTTATTGTACTTAATTTAAAAATGAAATTTATCTATATAAAAACAAAATATTAATAAATAAAAAATAAATAAAACTAATTAAAAATTAATTTTAATTGATAATAAAAAGTAAAAGTAATGTGACCTAGCAATAGAGCACCTAACTTTTTAAATTAATACATAATTTAACTGTTGTTTTGTTTCAATATAATGATTGATTTTATCAGTTGACAGATGCAATATTATATTAATGAAAAATTAAATAGAAACTTAAATGGAAACTTCATGATTTCTATTTTTCCAGCATGGAAGCACTAGAAATAACAACGAAATAAATATGCAATGAATATATAGCTATTACAATGTCTGGATTTACATTTATTGTATGAGAAAATAAGTTCTTTATATATAGTATATAAGTTTTATGAGTGTATTTGTTAAAAAAAGGTAGTGGGATGGTTTATACTTTATAAAAAGGTGACAGGATAGCATCCTGCCACATCTTGCCCCACTTCGAGCAATGTATTTATGTGTGAGTGAGTGTGTGTATATATCAGGCCTTGTTTTAAAACGTTACGGGTAGAGCGATTTATGTACGCTTTAAGCAATTTTACATAAGCAGTAAGCAATTTCGGTTAAGCGACTTTTAATCATTTTTTAACTTTTAAACTATTTAATAAGCGTTAAATAAAAGAAGTAATTAATTTTAACAAAAGTCACATTAACTTTTGAATGATGTTTATATAAAAATATTTGTTACAAAAGTTTGAATGACAATTATGTTTTATACAAACACTATTTACTTATGAAAAAAACTTAAATAAAATTAAAAATTCTTTTTTTTTTTATTGTAATGATTGATTTTTCAAGCTTGAAGCAAAGATTAACTTAAATTAAAAAAAACATAATTTAATTCTGATAAAAAATATATGATTTAATTTAAAACTAATTTAATAAAAATATATAACTTTATTCTGATAAAAAAAAAAATAATAATTTAATTTAGATGTTAAAAATATATAATTTAATTTTGATTTGAAAAGTATATTTAAGTTTATTAAAATTAAAGTTAATGCTCGGGTTTAACTTGTCAAATTTATTTAAAAATATTGCTAAACTGTCAAACTTTAGCTATAATATAGCTAAACTGTCAATATATATATATATATATATATATATATATATATATATATATATATATATATATATATGTTAAATTTTTATGCGGTAGTGGTGTAGTGGTAGAGCGCTTGCTTCATATGCGAGAGGTTCTGAGTTCAATTCCTACCATGTCCCTGAATAGTACCGCGCTCAACTTGTTTCTCAGGTTGTTGTTTGTCAAGGTTCGTGTTTCAGAGTTATAGAGTTGAGAGAGGGCTATAACCACATGTAGCCTCCTTATCTGTACTGGCCTTCTCAGCTTTGGGGAGGTGAATTACCAAAAATAAAAAAATAAAAAATAAACGATATATACAAGTGCCAAGACAAGTTGTGTTCATATCATAGATAAACATTAGAAAGTAAGTTAAAAGTTAATTAAATTTGCAAAACAAATTATTGAATGAGATATTAACAAAAGCATTTGTTGTTTTGCCATTATATTTCTGGTTGAGAGATTAATTTTAGGCTCTCAAGTTTTTTCCGATAAAAAAAAACATCTGGTTTTAATAATAAATGTTTTTGCTCTCTGGGAGTTTTTTAAACTCAGTTCAGTTTAACAAAATCAGATTGGGTTTCCCCTTCATCTTTAGTCTCTGGTGGTTATAAAAAACATCCGCTATAGCATGTTTTTGTTTTTTGTTTAATGTATTGTTAAGTGTTTAAGTTAAATAAACTAGCCTCATAAAAATAACAATTTAGGCAAAACGAACTTTAAAATACACAAGATGAATATTTTTCTTAGAAAATAAGTAATCAATTTTTTTATATACAACAATAAATACAAAATAATTCAACATGGTTTAATTTTGAAAGATTTAAAATTTTTTATTTTTTTAATAAATTAAAGAAACTGCCATAAAAATAATTTTATGTATATTTTTAACGTAAGTTTATAATAAGTTATATTTCTAACTTAAGAAATTGTTTTTAAAATGATCTAATATATACTTTTCAGATATTATCTAAAATTGATATTAAAAACTTGAATCTTATATTTTTGTTTAACCGCCAAAGAGGAAATCCCTGCAATTTAAACTTGATTTAAGTTTTTTGAAAGAAACTTTTTTGTATTGACGTCAAATATAAGCATATTAATCAGACCTGATTAAAAAAAAAAAAAAAGTCAAAGAGCTGGAGCTTTCCTTTGCCAGAAACAAAATGGCGTTAAAAATTAAAAAGTTTTTGTTAATATCTCATTCAATAATTTGTTTCGGAAAGTTCAATTAATTTTTAATTTATTTTCTAAAGTTTATCTATGATATAAACACAACTTGTCTCGGCACTTGGGGATCCCTTTAATATCAAATATTTTTTTAAAAGGCAATATAAAATTTAATTATTTGATATTAAAAAAATAATAAAAGAAAGTAAACACTCCCTTTTAGTAATAATAAAAAAGTTGTTAAACATTTAATTCATTTTGTGGTAATTAATACTATTGCAGTAATTTAAAAAAGTTAATGTCCTCAAAAAAAAAAAAAAAAGAGAGAGAACTTTATGACATCAAATATCGCGTTAAGCTAATCCGATAAGCATTAGCTAAATGTATATATAAAACTAAGTATATATAAAACTTAGTTTTAGCTTAACTTTTTATTTAAAACTTAACATTAACTTAACGTATATATATAAAAATAAATATATATAAAACTTCAAGTTAAAACAACTTAAATGTTACATAATTTTAAAAATGACAATGCTCTGTTTTTAGGGTTGAAGTTAGCATGAGAGCTGAAATAGCAATGTTTCTTCCATATTCCAAGCTGGGGGAGTAGATATTGACATGTTGAACATGTTTAAGTCGCAGATAGCAAGAAAAAACCATGAAATTATAGAGAATGAAGTACTTATAGTAAGAGAACAGAACCTGGATAAGATTTAAAACTTACTCCAAGAAGTACGTAAAGAAATTATAGAGAATGAAGTACTTATAGTAAGAGAACAGAACCTGGATAAGATTTAAAACTTACTCCAAGAAGTACGTACGATTGGCAAAGCTCTTAATCTTAGTATTAGTAATCTTAGTATCAGACACTTGGTTTTTTACAGCACAGTGTGTTATCTTTGCTTTAGCTGACCAGCGCTTAGAGGAGAAAGAGAGGATGGATATTTGCGTTGGCATTCTTGCGGATATAAATATTAGCCAAAGTTGAGTTGTTTGTTATCTAATGCTCTTTCCGTTTTATGCTCTTTACATGAAAAAAAGCTGACCAGCGCTTAGAGGAGAAAGAGAGGATGGATATTCTTGTGATGGATGCGAGAATGGATATTCTTGCGGCCTTGTTAAAATATGATGCTCCAGAGATAAAGAGCTTTGACAAAGAACAACCAGAACCTTTTACACAGGTTTGTTCCCTCTCAAAGCTATCAGACTTTGTTTCTCAGGAGTCTTATCTTTTTTTTTTCAATCTTAGTATAACCAAAGATGAATTCTCTCATGGAAAAAAGAAATGTCAATAAATCAATAAATCTTTTAAGACATTTGTGTCCAGTGTATGCCAATTAGCAGTTGTTGATGACAGGTCTGAAAAACACATCAAACTGGTGCAAGATTTCATTGAAAGGACACATTCCGAAGACAGGCTCCAAGACACGATGATGGTGGTTTTAGACAACTGGCGGAAGGTGTCTTAACGTGCCAATAAACAAAACTTGAAAAACATTTAGATAAAAAAAGCACTTAATGGCTATATTTTTGTTTTTTAAGTATACTTTTTCCAACAAATGTTTAATAATTTGTGCACCACCTAATTTTTTTAATATTTCATATTATATTTTAAAAAACATTTTAAAACAATTCAATTATTATAAAGAATAAAATAATTATGAAACTTTTTCAAAGTTTCAGTAAGTACAACAGTCAAAATTAATTAATCTTTTCTCTCTCAGATGATAAATATGCACCCTACATAACCTCCTGTACTAAGGCAGGAATCGAAGATTTTATTCCTTCTTGCCAGTTCCAAGTCAAGCCTCATTCTACTCCATGGTTTTCACCTACTTGTGCAGCTGCTATATCTTATCGTAATCATTTTTTTCATCTTTATCAAAAGAACAACTCTCTACAAAACAAAAAACCATTTATTAATGCAAAAAATCAAAGTAAAAAAGGGCTGTCTAATGCTAAGCTATATTATTCGCAGTTCACTAAACCTTGTATCTAATTTCAGAAGTTATGCACCAGAGACTATTGAAAATCTTTAACAGCATCAATAACATAGGTAGGTCTAACATTCCATCACTTATTCATGGGATTGATCTTATTACCTCTCCCAAGGATAAGGAAGAACTTTTCTAACTCAACTCTTGAGTCTTATGGCCATTCTCTTCCTTCCATTCCAATTTAACAGGCTAACCCATTATTAGACATTCAAATCACTCCAGCTTCTGATGCTAGTCATATCTCGATTAAACTTTTCTAAGGCTTGTGGTTCAGACAACATTCCTGTCATAGTCTTACAAAATTGTTCTCTAGAACTCTCTTCAAATCTCTCTATAATATTAAATAAGTGCTTGACTAAGTCTCCAACTATCTCCCGGGCAGTCTTCTTTCTGTTATTAGCAAGGTCTTTAAGTCTGTGATCATCAAATTTCTAACATTCTTTGATAAATCAAACAACTTACTGACAGATTATCAATATGGTTTTTGATTCTCTTGCTCTATGGCTGAATTGCTAACTGCTGTGACTGAAAGATTTTATTGTGAATCAGGTGGAGGCAGTGAGACAAGGGCTATCACTCTTGACATATCTAAACTTTTTGACAAAATTTGGCATGCTAATGTTCTCCATAAGCTTGCTTATATGGTGTATGTGAGAAAGTTTTTATGATTCTTAAATTGTTTTTTTCTAACGGATTTATTAAAGTTATCTTCGAAGGCCAACACTGTTCTTCATTTCCAATAACTTCCGGGGCACCTCAAGGTTCTATTCTTATATCTAATAGTTCTTTTTGCTGATGACTCAACTTTATTCTTTTGTTTTTAAAAAAGTCTTCTCTTTTTTAATTGCTTAGAACAGACAGCCGATCTTGAATCTGATCTCACTTTTGTAACAGATTGGGGCTCACAGTGGCTTGTAAATTTTAACTCCAATAAAACTCATTTATTTACTGCAAACAACTACCACAATACTGTCAACATATATGTCCTATATTAATGAACCCTCTCACTGAAATGTCTTCTTTATATCTTGGATTATCATTTACTTTTATGGAAACTGTATATTTAATTGATTGCTAAATTAGCATCTGCTAAAGTTGTTTCTCTTTATCATGCTTCATATTTTCTTACTCCTGATTCCATTCTCTACCTCTACAAATATCTTATTTATACCTGTATGGAATATTGTTGTCATATTTGGGCTGGTTCTTTTAATGATGCTCTTTTTTTTCTAGAAAAAAAAGAGCATCATTAAAAGATGATTATAAATAAGATATTTGTAGAGGTAGAGAATGGAATCAGGAGTAAGAAAATATGAAGCATGATAAAGAGAAACAACTTTAGCAGATGCTAATTTAGCAATCAATTAAAGGTCCAAATCGCAGTGTAAACGTATTTGGACCATACAACCTCAACTTTTCATATCTTCTGTCAACCTATTCCTTGCTCTATAACTCTACATTTTTTTTCTTCTAGTAACTCTCAACTAAATAGAGGCTGCTTGTAGCCTTGTTGGGAGTGAATCAGAATATATATATATAAAAAGAGTAAAGGCAAAAACATGTTCAAAGCTTTGAGGTTTGTGCTACGCCATAGCTTCTAACCTAACTATGTGGTAAATAATGTGGTAGTGGTGTAATGGTAGAGCACTTGGTACATTAGCAAAAAGTTCCAAGTTAAGCGTAGTACTATCTGGAACATGATTCCATCATGTTCCAGATAGTACTATGCTTAACTTGCTTCTCCACAAAACGGTCTCATTTTGTCAAGGCTCGTGTTTCGGAGTTAAAGAGGTGTAACAACAACAAAGTAGCCTCCTCAACTGTAATGGCTTCCTTCTCGGCCTATTAAAAAAAAACTAGCACAGTGAGATCTGCAAAGTTCAAACTTTATATATTTCGTCTCATACATTCTGAGATAAAACAAGATATTTTGAACACATTACCCAAATATATAAGTTTGAAAAGATTTGAACAAACTATACTAGATAGACGATTTAAACTAAAAAAAAAAATTTACTGATTTGAAAAATAGGCATATAGCAGGAAGAGTTGTTAAAAATTGCTTCAAGACTTATAATGTCATATTTAAATAAGAAAAAACATTATGCAAATCCGTTTAAATAATTTAAGTGTGGAACCATGGACATTAAACATAAAGTTAAAAAAACAAGTAAAAAACATGTTATGTAAAGTTTATTATATTTGGTTAATTATTAATTATAAAATAACATAAGTTTCTTATATGAATATACATATGTGTACAAAAAATCATTCATATCTGTCAAAGTATGAATTAAAGTTACTGCTTTTAAATAGTTTTACATAGAATAATAATATATCTATATTATAAAGCATTTATCACAATTTATCATAAATGTTTGAAAATATAAAAATCTGTAAAAGTTTCTCGAATAATAATATTCTGAAATTTTATGAAATTTTTATTAAAATTAGTTTTAATAAAAATTTTAATTAAAACTAATTTTTATTAAAATTAGTATTATCTAGTAAATTAAAATTTACTAGATAATTAAAACTAATATCTGACATGAAAAAAGTTATTTAAAGAATGCTACATTTATACATACTAATGTATAATAAATAAGTTTCTGTCAAAATTTAAAATTGAAGCAAAAAAATTCTTATAATCAGGAAAAATAAAATTTCTTTTTTATGAACTAATCTAATATACACTTTATGTAAGATCAAACCTCTGCTCCAAGATTAAGTAATGCCATCTCAAAAAATGTACTAAGCTAAAAAATAATAAAAAGAAAGCAATAAATCAAAAAAATCTTTTCAAAAAATGTTTATATATATATATATATATATATATATATATATATATATATATATATATATATATATATATATATATATATATATAATGTATGTATTTGTATATATATATATATATATATATATATATATATATATATATATATACGTATTTGTATATATATATATATATATATATATATATATATATATATATATATATATATATATATATATATATATATATATATATATATATATATATATATATATATATATATTTGTATATATATATATATATTTGTATATCTATATATATATATATATTTGTATATATATATATATATATATATATATATATATATATATATATATATATATATATATATATATATATATATATATATATAGTTCTTTATTGCTAAACTATTGTTTGCTATTAAAGAAATTTAAATATTATTTAGAAAAAGCATAATTTAGCTGTAATATTTTTGACTATGTTTGGCAACAACAACACTAGCTACAATACTTTTTGTAGGAATACTTTTATAATTACTTATATTAAAATTATCATTTGTATATATAAATACACAAAACAATATTATAAAATCTTAGGGAAGTAATTTTAATTTAAAAAAAATAAAGATAAGAGAATACAATAGCTTTGATTAGAATAATGTTTAGGTGCAACTGCAAACAAATACTTTAAACAAAGCAATGATAAACATATAAGACAATAAAACTTACATGATTTTGACTTTCTAGATGATAAACTTTGAAAAACTATAAAAAGTTAAAAATAAATTTTAAATTAAAAAAATTTTTAAATCAAAACAATCTAAAAGATTTGTATTGCTATGTAATTTCATCTACAGTTTAGAACAAAAACTGCTAATAAATATGATAAATGTTTGATTTTTAAAATTTACTTTCCAAGTATGAATGTATGCAGGGGCGCACAGAGACTTCATGATGTTCAGGGTAAATTATTTAAAAAATTTACTGGATTCCCCCCCCCCCCCTAATCATTACCAAAATAAAAATAATAAGAAAATAAGCTATAATTTCTAGTATTCACAAAATATTTTTAAAAAATTCTGTATTAAAGACAGTTGACAAATCAAACAATAAAACACAACAAAAAAAAAAAAAAACATTTCAAAAAAAAAGGATTTGGTATCAAGTTTTTCTGACACACCAAGAGCTTTTCTAGCAGCAAAGTTGGAAGTTACAACATCGTAATTAACTTTCTTCACTAGATTTGTTTCGTTTGAACAGATAAGACAGTTGTTAAAACAACCTAATGATCAAGAGTTCTTGACGAGAGCTAACTCTTGCTCTCAGCCACAGATACTGGAAAAATAACAAAGTAACAAAGACAAATGCAAATCTGGGGGAAATCTCCTTCATATAAAAGAAGACTAAAGGGCTGATCATTTGTCAGTTGATGGCACCAAACAGACAATAAGTGGTGAAACTTATCAAAAAACTTGTCTTCACTAAGGTCTTTTGGATACAGAAAGTCTGAATTGATGTCAAGCGTAGACCAGATAATGGAAAATAATCTACATTGCTGTTTCAGAGCTTGAAATTTCTCTGTAATCTGATGGACGAATGTTAGAAAGTAAACAATTTTCATTTCTTTATTGGATGTTTTCAAATGTTTATTTAGTATAATAATATATTTTTTGTCATCTAATGATGCCCCATAAACGTGAAGCCCATGGGATACCAACACGGATCCCCCA